TGGTATTACTTTCTCCTGCTAACCTGTCTTGTTAATTATTTGGCCATCCATAAGAACCTTAAGAGAAAGGGCAGAGGGGGATTCTCCCTCTTCCCCTACACTGTTCTAGGTCAATCTTTTCTAGAATCCTTGGAGGCATGCCACACTGAGATTATATATCTCCACTGTATAGATACAGAAAATGAGACCCACAGAAATTAAGCAAACTTTCCAGGACTAGCAAGTCACACAGATCATCTGACGGCACTTCAGTGATCTGCCCAAGACATTGGGGCCCAATATGATCTGAATGTGCATTGGGTGAATATCCAGGGAGGAATATCCAGTCAAGTGAAATCTAAATCCAAAGCATTATAATGGTACTGTCAAAACATGGGGGTGGGGGATCGAGGGAAGATAGTCATTTCTCTACATTTCTAGTAGTTCAGGATACTATAATACCTAGAACATGAAATGAAGAGTTTATTCTCCTTTATCCCTCCATCTCTATATTCCTACCTCTAATATTTACTCAGCACCTCTTCTGCACTGGGAATCCAAAGTGAAAAAAAGAAAAGGGGAGTGCCCCACGGGAGGACTGATCTCGCGTGCTAGGTTAGCATCATCAAACTCAGTACCTCTTTACGCATTCACAAGAGAAAGTAATTTTAAAATTATATTTCCAAGCGGTAGTATTTTGTTCGCATCTCAGTCAGTGTTTTTAAAAAAAAGAGGGAGAGAATTACCATAGCATAAAATAATTTCCAATTTCCTGAGTGCTAAATGAAGTAAAAATTGTGGTTAAATTAAACTCATCAGAGTTGTTATATAAAAACAGTATCCTAATGAAATTATATGTCTTCAAATCTAAATATTTTCAGAGAATTATGTCTATTAAAAAAGGAGCACCATTGTTTGAACAAATGAGCAAAAAGATCTCAAACATGAAATTCCTTATATTGGAAATGTCAAAGTTTGTGCAGTTCATGACAAGCTCATCCAAATCTCAAATACCATTTGATACATAGTTTCTGTCCAATTAAATATAATTCATAATCATGTGAATTTGTTTATTGTCTTCTAATAAAACTTTTAAAAGCTATATTACCTGTTGCTATGCCAATATTATGCTACATATTCTAGTCAAACATAAGTGAAATCATTAATCAGATAATCAGTCTTATTTAAAAAAAGGTTATTCTTTTTTAGTGGTAGGAAACTGTTGATAAGTTCCCTGCCTAAAATAAACCTCCATGTGCCAAAACCTATGTTCTACTGTTGGCTCAGGAGAGAGAGATGAGTGAACTGATTTTGAAGAGGAAAAAGGAGGCCTGAGATAGCAAGTTTCTCCCTTACACTGTTCTGGAACCTGAGAGTGGGAAAAGAATATAGACATTAACAATATAATTGCTACCTTATCTTAAGTGTCCGCCCTGTTCTAGGAACTGTTAGTAGCTCTAGAAACATGAGCCCATTTATTTATTTATTTATTTAATTTTAATAGTGCAACTGCTTTGGAAAACAGACTGTTTCTTTCTTTTCTTTCTTTTTTTTTTTTGAGGAAGATTGGCCCTGAGCTAACATCTGTTGCCAATCTTCTTCTTTTTCTTTTTTCTCCCCAAAGCCCCAGTACATAGTTGTATATCCTAGTTGTAGGTCCTTCTAGTTCTTCTATGTGGGACGCTGCCTCAGTGTGGCTTGATGAGTGGTAAGTAGGTCCATGCCCTGGATCTGAACCGGTGAACCCTGGGCCGCCAAAGTGGAATGTGTGAACTTAACAAATACACCACCAGGCCGGCCCCGAGCCCATTTATTTTTCACCACCTCTGACAATATGGGAATTCTTATTTGCTCTGTGTGTTTGTGGAAAATGAAGTTCAAAGAGGTCAAGACAGCTGTACAAAGTCACACAGCTAATAAGTGTTGGAGTGAGCCTTTACACACAGGGGTATATCGAATGCCACAACCAAGAAGGGATATATTGCTTTCACTCTTGAGCTGAAGACTTGAGCTCTGCACAGGATGAGTCTTAGACTAGTGTTGCCTCTGTGAGCCTCTGAGAGATGACCAAGTAATGATGATCAGTTGATTAAAGTGACAAAGAACTATAAAATCACGCATAAATGTATAAAAACACCTGGAACGAAGACAGTCCTTTTAAGAAGATGGTAGCCTCTGATCATAAGAAATAATTAGATGAGTCAGTCTGCAAGAGGAAAGTTTAATTCTTACTCTCAGGCCACTGAAACCTGACAGAGGCCCCCAACACTGACCGTTTTTATACACAATTTTAATCCCGTGTAGACGATGAAATATCAAACTTCTCTGTGCGACATAATACAAACAGCCATAAAATGCCTAATTAGTTTCCTCTATGTTTGATTTTCAACATTCATACTGCAGAAACATGCAAGCCCGGCAGAAACAATTCACAATCCTGTCCCATGTGTGGCTCGGGACTTGGAAGGCAGGCTGGGCATTCAGAGGTATGACTAGATCCTGTTGTCCGGCTCCGTGGTGAATGGAGTCATGAACTGAAACCTACAGAGCCTGGAGAGCGTTCATCCCAAGTTCTTAACCACCAGTGTCTCAGCTGAATCACTGATTATGAAAGATATCATTGTGTTGGCTTTTTAAGCTTAAAGGATAAATCTCTTGACCAAGGTGGGAGAAATGGGATCCATTCCAATCCAGCTTTGACAATCACTTCCTGTAAATGCTTTGAGAGATGCTTCGCCTCTCTGGTCTACCATTTCCTTCAGTGTAATATGGGAATTGTAGCACATACTTTGCCTTCTCATAGGCATGAGATCAGTGTTTCGTATCTAGCACATGCTCTCCCACCCCGTATGAGTTCAAAAAATCCTCACTAATTGGAGAAAAGAATTAGTGAATTAATTAACATTCCCTTCTTATTTTTCAAAGCATTTGACATACAAGGATAAGGTTTATGCTTATTAATTACCCTTATTAATAAAACTAAAGTCAGCATTACTCTTCAACACCAGAGGGACTTCCTTCACCATTGAAATCCTCCTTTAAAGTTAGGAGAGAGTAGTGAAACCCAATTAGAAACATAGCCACTCCTGAGACTTCAACCACCATCTGATGATGCCTGCTCTACACGCCCAGCCCCCCTTCTGTACTGAGCTAGTAGCAGCACATCCCTATTTCTGATTACCTACTTAACAGCTCCACCTAGCTGTCACACAAACATCTCCAATTCACCAGTCCAACCCAAATTTAATTCAACTTCTTTCCCCCAAACCCGCTTCTCCTTTTGGATTCACAATCCCTGATAGCAAGATCACAATGCACTGAATTTCTAGGTAAGGAAGGTCAAAATCACACTAGCATTCTCGAATCAGTCCTCAAATCCTGATCAGTCTGTCTTATTGGTGCGCCATGATTCATTCAAGAAGTATTGACTGTGTCCCTATTATGTTTCAGGCACAATGTAAAAAACTGGGTATACAACAAGAAAACAAGATTCCTGCGCTCGTTGAGGTTACTTTCTGGTGGGGCCGTTAGACCCACAGACACAGGAAATGCCGGTAAGCAAGATAAGTTTAAAGAGCTGTAATTGATCCAAAGGAAATCAACAAAGGGTTACCCATTTTAGATGGAAAAGGGGGCACGTTTGATCTGTATGAGGAACTGATAGATGGCCGGTGTGGTTGAGGCTTAGCGCACTGAAAGGAGAATGGAGTAAGATGAAGTTGGAGAGGTTTGCAGGGCCCTGGTCATGTAAAGCAATAAAATAAGGGAATTGGAATATATTTGAAGACTTTGGGAAGCCTGTGAAGAGGTTTCACTTATGGAGTCATGTGATCAGAGTTGTGCGTTAAAATCCCTCTGGCTTCTTTGTGGAGAAGACGTTGGGAGGTGGAGAATGCCTAAGAGGCCGTTTCAGTCTTCCAGGTTAGAGATGACGATGGTCTAGACCAGGTTGATGGCAGTGAAGAGGCAGAGAAGCCTTGCCTCTTTTCCATCCCCAATTTAATGAATTATTTTAGGCCCTCATTGTATCTCATTTTGATTTTCATAAAAACCCTCTTGGTATGCCTCTAGGTTTAGATGCTCCTAACCTGGCCTCCACACTGCCTGCCAGATAGGTTTGGCCACTCTCCTGCTCAGAGATTCCAATTCGCTCCCTAACCCCCCAGCCATTGTCCTACAAAGGCTCTCATAAAGAGGTGAAGGATGTGGCACCGTTATCCAGGAGCACTTTCAAATGCAGCTGACCAGGTCCCACCTGCCATACAGAGCCAGACTCTCTGGGTACCATGAATGTGTATTTTTAATAAGTTTCTCCAAGTGATGTAGATGCTCTCTTATCTTCCCCATCATCCCCAGGAACACTGGGCTCTAACATATAATTTGGCTAAACACAAGATCTGTCCAGAACTGCTACAATTGGCTTACCCTCCATTCGTGGTCAACATCTCACCATCTCCTGTTATATCTTTCATTTATTTTGTTCCCTCAACCTTGAAGGAGGGGAAATATCTTGTTGCATTGTCTGGGGAGGTGAGTAGACATAAAGGTAAATAGATGATTATAAAACAACACGATAGATATTTTGGAACAGGGTTGGGAAGACTGAATGATGTTGAGGAAAGTAGCGAGATTCATTCTGCATCCTTAAGTAACTAGCACAGAGTCTACAAAATAAGATTTTAATGAATGAATGAATGAATGAATGAATGAGGAATGTAAACAACACCCACTACTGAAGGACAAGAAGAACAGAGCAGCGTTCCTTCTTTTGGTTGAATTGATGTCATAAAGCAGTGATTACTTTATATTGAAATAAGGAAGGATTTAACTAAGATTGCTTTTAAGGCAATATGTTCCCAATGAAAAAGGACTCCACTAGTAGGGAAAGACATTTTATTTCCAAGCTTCTAAGAGGGTTCTACAAACAATAGAGGCTTAACGTAAAAAAGAGAAGATAAAAAGAAAAAACAAGTATTTTTAACTATTGAAAAGTAGACAGCCTTTTTCTTAAAAAAAAAAAAAAACTTAAACATAAAAATGTGAAAATGTAGTTGTCAAATCTAATCCAAATACATTCCTAGAAAAAAGGATCATCCGTGGTGACGGGGTTACTTACAGCTGTATACTTGTTTAAGTGCTATTCATATTCCTTTTGAGTTATGCCTTCATTTCAAATTCAATTGGAGATCTGTGCAAATCTAGCAAAATATTCTTTGGATTATAAAAACTATACAAAAAATGAACAAAACCTGCAATTATGGAAGTATTGAGAGTGTGCAATCCTTCACTGAAATGAAAGATTCCACTGTGACATTGCCCACAGAATTTATCCCACTGAAGTGTTCAATTTGATTTAAATGTAGAGTATAATGGAAGTGAACACTTCATAAAAACATTTCTCTTCGTATGCATTTGACTGTGTCATAAAAATAGTACATAGCAGGATATCAAGAAATGCTTGAAACAAACTTTCACAATAAAGTAAAAAAAAACCAAAGATTATCTAAAAATTGTCTGCGATTCAAGAGAAAGCGTCTGCCCTGTGTCTAGGGGGAAAGTGGGGAAGTACTGAGTGGTCCTTCCCCGAGTATTGCTATGTTTGACCTTTGGCCCAACTGAGCAGGTGAAGTGTTCTTCACAGAAGTCCCAATCCCCAGGCGGCTGGCTGGGGCTGCAGGAGACTGTAAGTATACTCGCGGATCAAATGGCATTGACCCTCAGAATCCACCATGGTCCCTGCCCTCATTCTGAGCTTATTTTAAAATCAAGCATATTTTAAAACAAAGATTTGGAAATGAATTGCTCTTTCTTTTATCAAAATTTAAAATGCCACATTATGTTAAGAGCAGTTAAAACTACAGGAGGAAAAACAAGCAGTTTCAACTGTCAGAGTCATTATGATAAGCCTGGTAAGATCAAAGTGAGGAAAAATAGAATAACATAGGAGGTCTGATAAGTACACGTGGCAAATTTATATTTTTGACTTGTTACTCTCCCAACCCCCAAATGCTCGGTATGGGGCATAAAATCTGCATCTTGAACTTTAGAGTTCTGATAATTTCATTCCCTCATGGATCCGTCTCTCAGAACCATCGAATTACTGATATATAAGACAAATGCATATTATATAACAAGTATTAGAAAATCATTGACTGACCTAGATCTTTACCATCCTTTCTTTTCAGAAGATGGGTGCGAAGAGAAGCCAGGAAGCTAACAGCGAGAATGTACAAAAGCTTTACACGATGTTACAGAATCTTGTCTGAAAAAACATTTGCAAAGCATATCTGATTTTAAATAAACAATAAAAGCAGCAGACTACAACAGATCATAAATAGGGTTATTAAAAGATCACAATTATCTTAAATTAGAAATATAAATGGGTCATTAGGAATGCTTTTAATTTTTTTCAATGTTAAGACTCAAACCCAGAATTAAAAAAGAATCTTTTTTATTTCAAAGGTTGCTTCTTATATTGAAGCTCATATTAAAGCAAAGGTACAATGTTCATAAAATATAAGTGTGATGCCGTAACATTTCTTACATGTCAGAATACTGATATTTGTATGTATACTAAAATAAGAACTTTAAAATTGTACAAATAGATACATTAAAAATGACATAGAAATAGGGCGCCTCTCACTGAAACAAGACAGTTATATCTGGCACGTATTAGTTTAAGATGGAAGTAGAAGCAAAAAGATTTACAAGAATCAGCAGTAACAAGATTGATGCTCAAGAGACATAATTGTACATTGTATTGTACATACATTGTATGGGTTTAAGCTGGCTGAATATTATATATTTCAAGTTTAAAAATGCACTACATATAGAGTGTCCATAGTTTAAGGCGAAATTACAGCTCAGAACTGTTGTCCTTTCTAATTTTGTGGAAGCTTCTTTGACATATTAAAAAAAAAAAAAAGACTTAGATGTTCATAACACATAAACAATTTCCCTTCATTGTAAGTTCACCATTAGACTTCTCCTTCACTTAAATATTTTGTATGCCAAGTGGTTTTTTTCTCTAGCGAAGTTGATCAACAACCTCAACATTTGCCTTTTGGTGAGAAAAGGTACTTCACAGTATTTACCACTTTGATGTCCTTGCAGTTTTATTAAATGTATCCTCTCTGTAAAACTTTGCTTGTTTTAAATGAGCCATTCCTTGATTTAAAAAAATACCTGTTTCCATATCTTCTAGATTCATCAGAACGCCAGACAGTTCTTAAGGCCAAATTTGTAGCGTTATTGTTAAGAGTCGTCATCAAAAGTGTCTTTGGAACCATACAAGTCTGCTAGTTTCTTAAACCGAGGTCCCCAGTTCTGCAGGTAGTCATAGTCCAAGTCTGAATCTGTGGTGGCAGACTCTAAGGAGCTCAGAGACCCGGCCACCGAGCCCCTGCCTTCGTACCCATAGATTTGGATGGAGTCATAAGGAGGGGCGGTGGGATCATTATCCGCCTCCTGTATTCTCGTGTTGATGAAGTCATCCACATCCACACTGTTGGGCGCTGGCCGGAGCCCAGGCCTAGGCATGTACTGATACTCGGGTTTTATGTCTTTGCGAGGGATAAATCCATTGATACCGTCAGGATTCTGGAGGGTGGCGATATCAAAGGCTTCTGTGTCTTCTTCCCCACCCCCTTCATCATCATAGGTAATGATGTTCTCACGGACATCTTCTTCCTCAAAGACGATGAGCGGTTCTTTCTTTTGTCTTCTCAGGGTCACAAACAACACTACGATGACTACAGGGAAAGAAAAAGAAAGTAAGCATAGGCGAAGCCCAGTATCCTGGATTCTCTTCCCAGGGGAAGTCGGCTTACCATAAAGCACGGCGTACTCATGCTTCAGAACTGGAACCAGGCTACGAAATGAGAGCTCCACCTGGAATCCCCCAAGATGTGTAAAATGGCCCTCCACCTGTCTCCTGCTCTGCAAAATGCTGCCAGGAAAATATCATATCCAAACAAACTGGCCCGCTGGAACTATTTTGAGCTCTTTACAAATGAATCCGGCACTATTTGGAAGTCATGTTCCTGAGAATGAGAAAGATTCTAAATATGTTTGTCTGCAGCCTCCTAAAAGTGGCTCAGGCTTGTTTCTTTGTGCAAAGGAAGACAGCTGCCTCTTCAAAGTTTAGGAATGAGGACAGTCAGAAACGTCAGGTCCCAACTTTCTGCAGGAGGTGATGCTTGGCTCTTGCCCAGAGGTCCGGGGGTGGGGTCAGCATTGACCCTACTCTACTTTAACAAGAAATCTTACCGTAAGCTAGTCTCTTTTCAGACCACCGTATAGAAGAGGGGAAACTTCTAAAGGCCCCAAAGAAACAAATCTTCCCTTACTTATTTGAACACGGGAAAACAGCATCTGCTAAAACTCCAGATGAAGCAACTCCATCTCTTCCCTGCGAGAGGGGATTCCACTAAGCTCAGACAATCTAGGATGAGTGAGCAGATTTGCTTATAAGGAAAGTTCAGACGATGGTTAATTCTTTATCGATCCCCCCACCTCCTCACAAGAGGTTTCTACATCATTCCATTAGAACACTCTCCCACACACTCAGCAAGACTGAAGAAAATGTTTGTAGCTGTATTTGGGAAATGGACTTAAAGGCCCTTTGGGCCCACCATCACTCTGAGACGTAGGGAGGAAGGCTCGCACTTGCCCAGACTGCACGTGGCTCCCAGTGCTCACCAAGCAGAGTCCTTCCTCTGTGCCTTGTTCTTGACAACACTTTTAGCTGGACCACTCCTTTCACTTTCTTTGCTTGGCTGACTCTGTCTTATCTTTCACCATGGAAATCTTTCCTGGCACCCCACCCTGACACCAGACAGGGCTATGGGCTCCCACTCTATGCACCCATAGAGTGGGTTCTTACCATCATCATGACACTTATCACATGGTTTACACCTCTGGCTCATCCACTAGACTATGAATTTCTCAGAGGTCTTTCATATTCTGTTCCCTCTGCTTGGAATATCCATTCATCCCAGCCCCTTTCACCAGTTGGAAAACTCTTCTAGCATCTGACAAGGATGTCACATCCTCCAGGAAGATGTCTCTGACCTTCCCAGTCAATGTCAGGCACACTCTACGCTTGTGCACACAACCTTTGGTTCATGTCCCCATCATGGCACAAACCATGTGCCTCTGTAGTCTATCTGTTCATGCATATTTTCCTTGATAGGCTATGAACTTATCAAGCACAGAGATCTTCTATGATTCTTCTCATTATCTCCCATCGCTGAACACAGGGCCTGGTACCCAGATCATAGTCCGTAACTATTTGTTGAACTAAACTCCCTGGCTCTTCCTTATGTAGCTGGGCCCTATTAATTCATTCAATGGAGAACTACACATCATGGAACAAGCATAAATTTGATGTCAGACATACATGGATTTGAATCCTGATTTTTGTCACTCACTACTTCTGAGGCGTTGGGACAAATGATTTAATCCTCCTGAGGCCCAGCAATGGTAGATGTTATTTGCATCACCACATTGCTGTTATTACAGAGTAGACCACAGATGGGATGGAAGTGCAGAACTAACTCAGCTGGCAAGTGAAGGAAAAGCTCCCCAGGGGTCCCCAGAAGCTGAGGACTGCACCCAGATATTACGTATGATACAGAGGAGGAGAGTCAACACCAAGCTTTGGCTAGGCCGACTTTCATCTAGTTCCTTGAGTCCTTCATACACGGTCCCTTGCATCAGGATTACTCTTTCTGCCTCCAACTCTTCTCCTTCCTCTTATGAGGCAAACCATTGCTCATATACTAGATCTCTGGCTAGATTCTTCTTCTGTAAAAGGCGCTGTCCCCTCGCAGAGCGCCCTGACAGCTTCTGCTATGCAGTCTTGTGATGCAATCTGCTCATCATAACCTTCCCCTGACTCTGCTATTGCTGCTTGTTAAGCTGCCTGTTCCCTGCCCCCTACCATAAAATGCATGAGAGCAGGCACTGCCTCTCTCTTGTCTCAAACTGTGTCCATAGGGTATAGCATAGCTCCTGGTAACCAGCCTGACCTCAAGAAATAGATGTGTTTCAAGGATGGGTATCTGGTTGTAAGGCCCTTCCTCCAGGTGACGGGGATCCCTTACCCAGGAGAATGACGATGCAGGCAAGGATGGCGATCAGTGCCCCCGTGCTCAGGCCGGCGTTCAGGATGTAGGCCTCGGCATTGCAGGAGAGCAGCGCCCCATTCACGTCACACCCGCAGACCTTGATGGTGAGGGTGTTGGTGCTACTCATGGGTGGGATTCCACCATCGCTGATCACGATGGGCAGGAGGTACAAATCCTGCTTCTGCCGACTGAACCCTCCGCGCCGGGCATACACGCCTGCGGTGTTGTCTGTGGGGAGAGGGGAGACAAGGTGTGCTCTCAGGCAGGACCATTTAAACCACGGCCTTCACATTTTTGCATTCAGCTTGGCAGATGTGAGGGTGCTCTTCCCATCACCCGGGTTAACAACCAGAATCTTCCCCATTTGTTCTTTAATCTAGGCATCTGCAGAAGCCACTGTCATGTGGCATGACAGGATCACAGAATGATCTCTATGCATTTTGGGACAAAACTCAGAAATTGGTTCTTTTTCATTTGGAAGACACTGAATGCCCTCATTAGCAAGCTAATCACCTCAATTTCTGGTTGAGCATTGCCTCCTTCATCAGATCCCACAAAAGAGTGTGGGCTTCAACCACATACTCTGTGTTAGCATAGGATATAATTAAATATATAAGTGAATAGGAGAAAAAAACACAAAAAAGCTTCTTTTCATATTTGTACTTTCTCTATTTCATGACAAGCCTTCAGCCAATTTTTGTTTGTTTGCTTTTTTAAGAGATTTGCAATCCACCCTCAAACCTTGCCCAAACTGGGAACCCACTCAGGAGTCCTAAAGGAAAATATCGTCTTTAAAGAGGAAATATTTTGTAAACCCAGCAGCAGGTTTATAGTTTCTTTGAAATTCAAGCACCATTAGCCACTCAGTCAAACATGTCACTCCTCCTGCTTAAAATGATTCCAAATTTTCTCTGTTGCCCACACAACACAGCCCACCTTGACACAGCAGACCACCAGATTTCTCCCTAATCTAGACTATATCTTGTGTTCCAGGCTCACTCCCACCCCTTCCCACACATCCCAGTTCAGCCTGACGTGCAGAACTCGCTTCTGTTCCCAAGCATACCACGCTCTTCCAAATGCTCTGCCTTTTTACCCGCTGCTCTAATGCCCAAAAGCTGCTCTTTTTATCATGACAGATGAACTTCTTCTCCAGCCTCAAAATCGAATCCAAAAGTCATCTCTTCAGGGAGCCCTTTCTAGGCCTCTTCCATCATCTCGTCTGTGACCCGTAACACTGTATATTCCTGCAGAAATTGGTCTCCCACTATTCTGTCATTATTTGCTGGCATAACCACTTTGACCTCCCCTAGACCGTAAACTTCTGGAGAACAGGGGATTTTATCTGATTCATTTCCATCTCTCCAGTGCTGGACACCCAGCAGACATTCAATAAATATTTGTTGAACAAATGCATAACTGAGTTCTGGAGAAGGTTTAACCAAAATTCTCGATGTTGGCTTTCGTGTATTTCTCACTTGGTTGTAACCTATACCCCCAAATTCTTCTTCATCATGTTTTCTGCATATTTCTACCGGCCAAAAATATTTTTTCCAGGCTGTATGCTTTGGGGGAAAAGATTGGTATTGTAAAAGAGTAGAAGTTTTGAATATGCTCCATCAAATTACACACTTACACACATACACACATAGATCCTTGGTATAGCTTGCCTCTGTCTGTGAGTTAAGAATCAGTAATTTATAGCAATATGAATGTTATCACCAACAGGATGGCCCAAGAGCTAGCTGGCTTTAAATGGTTTGACAGTAACATGAATTAACTCTTGTCGTAGGAAAAAATATCTTAGAATCTCAAAATTAAATTGATATGTTTTAGGTTAAAGGAAATGTAATATATTCTCTTTGAGATAAAATATATATATATAAAAGGCAGATTCAATCTCATTTAGGGATGAGCAGATACTCTGAGTACTGCAGAAGGTAACGTGCGTACATGCAACGGCTTTTGGGAGGCCTTATAATGACAGATTCTCTGCCCTTGGCTGCCAACATCTCAATCAAAACAAGGCAGAACAGCAAGCCTTCATTTCTATACTTTCTGAATTTTGTGTGATTGGCATATATTGCTCTTATCACTGGAGAAAAATTATATATACTATGGAAAATCATGAAAAAATAAAAACAAACTGATCAAATAAAATGCTAACTGAAAATTCAGTTTCTTGACTGACTCTTGACTGCTTGACTTGCTCTTTCCTATTCGAGGCTATCTATACCATTGTTCTATGCTTAACAACTACAAATAAATTTACATATCTATCATAAATTATTTCAAAATAAGTTATTTTTTCTTCTCATATTTTTTTGAGTTCAAATAAGACTTTCACAAGTTAAAAGTTACAGTATCTACCCCATTTTAATGATCTGAAATGTCACTAATGCCATTATGAATAAAAATGAAAATGAAAAATTTAAGAAGAAAAGCAAATTAATTAACTCACTTAATCAAATATACCTCTTTGACGTGGATGACATCCCCAATAGATCACGTAGTTAATTTGTCTATTGGGTCCCATCCTGTCACCCATGGTGTTGGGTTGAAGAGAATGTGAACAGTTTTGGTTTTTTTCCCAAACCAGTGGAAGCCATAATTTAAAATCTATTTTTCAATGTGCCATCCATGCAAGACTGTCCCTCCAGATCACAGCAGGCTGGCTTATACATGCAGGTAATTGAAAATCAAACACGAATGGAAAACACGGATCTGAGCAGGACGCCAGCATGTGAATTCAAGATGTTTCATATTCTGAACAGCTGAGTCCTCTCAGACACGCTGAAACTATTATATAAAGGCTCATCAAAGTCCCCAGCTGACTGAACCATTTACAATCTCTGGGTGATAGATTGGTAGAATCTCGAGAGATTTTTTTTATTCTCTTCTAGTCAAACATGTTTCACATATGGATTTTAAGATTAGTTCAAGAGGTGGGAAAGAGATGGACTGAGGGGCTTTTCTTGGGCATTCACTAATTATATGCTTTAGAATGAGTCATTTGTCCCGTCCAGAGCCTCACTTGTTCATCTTTAAAGTGAGGACACTGGTTGATATCAAGCATGCCTCATGGGGTTGTTATTGGAACCAAATAACGTAATAAAAGCCACTGGTTGTCCTCTGTGCTGTGCTTCCAGAGGGCTCAGGAAACTTAACAGTTTCCTATCAGAAAACCTAGGCAGTATTGAGATTTTCCAGGACTGGTGAACTGGTGAAGGGTGAATGTGGTAGATAGGAAATGTGTCTAACCAGCCTGGCATGGCACTTAGGTGATCTATGTTGCTTGAATGAATAAAATATTTCCTCTGTAGATCTAAGCGGCCCCAGCACCAATGGAACGGTGAGCTTCCTTTCAGGAGGGCCATTTCAGAGGAGTCAGTGCTATGTCCTGTGATAGTCTTTCTTGTGGTCCACTCTGATCACTGATCTTTCACTAACAAAAAAAGCCACTATGGGCAGGAACTTGATGAAAAATGAATCTAGAAAAACAAATGGAAAAAGAAACAAACTAACAATAACAACAAAACCTTTATAGTAGAAATCAATTTTGCATCTTAAGTTTGACTACAGATTCTCTTTCATGTAAATTATTTTAACTAGCAGCCGCTCTCTCATTTGTCTTCAAGAGGGTCCCCTCACTTTGGACATACACATTACTGAGGTTTATGGGTGATTCAAGAGAAAAAAAGGTTCCATGAGGACACATTTTCAGGGAAGGTTCAAATTGATTCCTTGGTTAATAAGATGAGACAGAGAAAGACAAATGTCTCAATTTTTAAATATCCATCAAGAGCTTTCTCAGATCTTTCTCCTTTATAGATCTTCCAAAGAGCAAATCTCTCATTATGTGCGGTCAAATAGACCTGGGTTTGAACCTTGAATCTTCCACATGTTAATTGCCTGGCTTTAGATATATTAAGTAAATGTCTTGCGTTTCTTTATTCTCATCCAGGAAACTAATAACTTTTAGGGTTAAATTTTATTCCATTCATAAAGCTACTTAGCACAGTGCCAGACTGTTCGAGATGCACAGTAAATATTCATTCTTTTCTGGAAGCTCTCTTCTTTGAGCAGTAGACTAATGAGGAAGAGAAACTTATTGGCAAAGAGAGGAAAGTGAATTCTTGGAAATGTCATCTCGGCTTTGAATGTAATTGCCTACATAGAAGTGCTCATCATCCAGGGGTAAGAAAACAGTTCACGCTCTTCAGTCTTGGCAACATATTTCCCGTGGTAAGAAAATGTTTTTCAAGCTCCTCACAGTTTTTCATCCTGACACCCAATGTTCTCAACCCTGGCCACAGATATGTAACCAGGTCCATTTATTTCCTCCACTTAGGCAAAAACTTGCGAACGGGGCCATTAATTACTAGTATATGTCATGCACAAATTGTAGTGTTTCTATTAATGGAAAATAAATTCAGGTTTCAAATTTTTATGTCTATCACCTGAACTCCTAATCATATGCTGTTTTTATCTGTACACTTTGTCATTACACTAACAAAATGTACAGGTTCCTGCTAATGATGGTCTCCACGGTACCAGTTTGGGGATGCAAGTGTAAGGGTTATGATGATGATGTGGCCCAGTGGAGGGATACATACAACTGACATTAGAAAGGAAAATTATGATGGGGAAACAGCCCTTGACAGACAGACTGCACTGAGTGCCAACCTTGTCTTAGCCAAAAAGAAATTGGGAGCAGAGCAAAATGGGCAGTTTATGGGCATAGCCCCCGCATGTTAATAACTTGAAAAGAGGATGCACTGCAGCTAAGGAGTAGTGCATTCTGCTCTCACCTTGGCTTCTCTAAAGCTCTTAAGACGCTCTTTCTTACCATTCCTTTTTCTCTGTCCTTCTCTGCTGTGAAGCTAAAGATTCCCCATTGCTTGACCTGATCAGAGACACCTCAGCCTATGAAGAAAGGTCGTGGGTGCATCCGTCTGGGGCCCTTCCTTTGAGACTGTTAAAGATCTAGAGAATCTAGGCCAAACCTTGCTCTTATTTTGTTCACTTCTGACCCAAATCCACCTATTCTACCCTGTCTGCTCCAGCCTTAGACAAAGTAATCTATCTACTGCATAAAAAGCTTCCACGCACTTGAAGACAGTCAGTTTTGCAGTCATCAGCAGAATAATCGTTATTTGATTACTTTCCTCTGGGCCCTCTCCATTTTCCTGAGAAATGTGGCAATAGCTGTAGCAAGATGATGAAAA